CATGAGTCCAAAGGTTCACCAGGATCCTAGGGAGAGTGATGGACATGTAACAGATTTCCAAGGAGGAAAAATTTGCCAGGAAAAAATACATGGGTTTCTGCAGTGCAGAGTCAAGGCAAGTTATTATTATTAAGAGGTTATTTCCAGTTAAGATAATGATGTAAATGATGGAGAACACTCCAAACAGTAACCCTTGGAGGTTTGGAAGGTCAGAAAACCCCAGGAGAACAAATTGTATAACTGTGGATATGTTGTCTTCTGATTCCATCTCTTCATATTTCATCTGTGGGAATGATTCAATCCGAAGTACCATTATTTCACTTTTTGACTTTTGTTTCCTTATGTATAAACAGGATTCTATGTCCTCTTATTTTTCCAATTCCCTAAAGAAACAAAACCTATTACTAATAAGACCCGTGAAAGTATAGTGAAACATATTTTTCATTAATGTTAAATATATTTTTAAGAAAATATATCTCTAATTTTCTTGAAGAGATCTCTAGTCTTTCCCATTCTATTGTTTTCCTCTATTTCTTTGCATTGGTCTCTGAGGAAGGCTTTCTTATCTCTCCTTGCTATTTTTTGGAACTCTGCATTCAAATGCATATATCTTTCCTTTTCTCTTTTGCTTTTGGCTTCTCCTCTTTTCACAGCTATTTGTAGGGCCTCCTCAGAGAGCCATTTTGTTTTTTTGCATTTCTTTTCTTGGGGATGGTCTTGATCCCTATCTCCTATACAATGTCACAAACCTCCATCCATAGTTCATCAGGCACTCTGTCTATCAGATCTAGTCCCTTAAATCTATTTCTTACTTCCACTGTATAGTCATAAGGGATTTGATTTAGGTCATACCTGAATGGTCTAGAGGTTTTCTCTACTTTCTTTTATTTAAGTCTGAATTTGGCAATAAGGAATTCATGATCTGAGCCATGGTCAGCTCCCTGTCTTGTTTTTGCTGACTGTACAGAGCTTCTCCATCTTTGGCTGCAAAGAAGATAAGCAATCTGATCTTGGTGTTGACCATCTGGTGACGTCCATGTGTAGAGTCTTCTCTTGTGTTGTTGGAAGAGGGTGTTTGCTATGACCAGTGTGTTCTCTTGGAAGAACTCTATTAGCCTTTGCCCTGCTTCATTCTGTACTCTAAGGTCAAATTTGCCTGTTACTCCAGGTGTTTCTTGACTTCCTGCTTTTGCATTCCAGTCCCCTATAATGAAAAGGACATCTTTTGGGGGGTGTTAGTTCTAGAAGTTCTTGTAGTTCTTCATAGAACCATTCAACTTCAGCTTCTTCAGCATTACTGGTTGGGGCATAGACTTGGATTACCGTGATATTGAGTGGTTTGCCTTGGAAATGAACAGAGATAATTATGTCGTTTTTGAGATTGCATCCAAGTACTGCATTTCGGACTCTTTGGTTGACTATGATGGCTACTCCATTTCTTCTAGATATTCAGTGATTTGCTAATGTTTACATATACTTTCAGTATGGAAATCCAATATATGTGGCAGTTATTAATTGATTCTCTCTTTTGTCAAGTATGTTGGCTGTCACAGAATAATGACCCTCAAAGACACATTTTATAAGGAAGGTTGAGTGCCGAAGAATTGATGCTTTTAAACTGTCGTGTTGGAGAAGACTCTTGAGAGTACCTTGGACTGCAAGAAGATCAAGCCAGTCAATCCTAAAGGAAATCGATCCTGAATATTCATTGGAGGGACTGATGCTGAAGTTAAAGCTCCAATACTTTGACCACCTGATGCGAAGAGCCAACTGTTTAGAAAAGCCCCTGATGCTGGGAAAGACTGAAGGCAGGAGGACAAGGGGATGACAGAGTTCAAGATGGTTGGATGGCATCACCAATGCTATGGACATGAGTTTGAACAAGCTCCAGGAGATGGTGAAGGACAGAGAAGCCTGGCATGCTGTAGTCCGTGGGCTCACAAAGAGTTGGACACAACTGAGCGACTGAAGAGCAATAACAACATGCCTATATGTGACAACCTTGTGTGTGCGTGCTAAGTCACTTCAGTGGTGTCTGCTTGCGTCACCCTATGGACTGTCGATAGCCAGGCTCCTCTATCCATGGGATTCTCCTGGCAAGAATACTGGAATGGGTTGCCATGCCCTTCTCCAAGCTATCGTCCCAATCCAGGGATCAAACCCACGTCTCCTGCAGCTCCTGCATTTCAGTCTGATTTTTTACCACTGAGACACTGGGGAAGGCCGTATATGACAACCTTAATCATTTGAAACATAATCAGTTCAATTAATTCATCTAGAAAACTTCACATCTGAGTTACTGCATGCACATACACAAACTCTTTTTATCTATGTATCTATTATCTATCTAAATGCTTTAAACACAAAATATAAATATACATATATAAATATGTATATCTTTTGTGTGTAAAGCTTATTATGGAAAAGCTCAACCATCTTCCTTTTTGAAATGTCAACATCATCTCTCTAAAAGTTTGTTTCATAATTTATATATATATATTTTAACTCTTCCCTTAGACCATATGTTTACCTTCTCTTTATCTTCCAATTCTATTATTCTATTTCCATATATGTTCTCTATACTAATTATATGATAGTGAAATAAGCTTACATGCTTTCATGTCACAGCTAAAGAAATAGTTTATTGATATAAAGGTTACATATAGCAAAACACTATTCCAAGAAACAATTATACATATGATACCTATATAAATATAAATATACAGCTATCTTTAAAAAAAGGAAAGAAAGAGATGTCTACCATTATTCTCTGAACTTTCTTTTCCAGCAAAGAATCCATAGCTATTAATACAATCCAGATGCACAATGAAGACATATTCACTTTTCACTTTCCCTGAATCAGGCTATTAATCTTGGAAGGATTTTGCACATAGTATTGACCTTCCCATCCTTTGTTGTCAGTTGACTTCAGTCCACAAAAGCAATATTATCCTAAAGTACACACACACACAGACAAGCATGTATACCTACATAAATGAATATCTGTTTTTGTGTTTCTAAATAATAAAATTGTGTTTGCTTAGTTTCTCAGGATTATAGGTGACTTGTTCCAGGAATAGTACAATGCAAAGTAGTAACAAAAGAGTATGTTGCTAATAAAGATATTTGTAATTTACAAAGCATTGGTAGTATTTGCACACGTTCATTGTGTTTTAAAAACAAGTGATACAGATTTTTGGCAAGCTATTACCACTGAATGTGGTAACTAGTTTAGATATGGTTTGTTAGTTGCCAAGCCAAAGTGAAAATAATTTCTGAAGCTGTCCACTGACATTTTTAACTTGTGAAACTTCAGTATCTACCCAAAAAAGTCATAATGCTCCAAGATATCACTCTTATTTGCCATTCTCTATAAAAAGAGAGAGATCCAATCACATCTGATTGATATATCAGTATTTTTAAATGTTGCCCCCCCATTAGTTATCTCTTTTCTCTAAAAAAGTTTTTTTTTTTTTTAATTAGGCAGGAAGGAGAGAAAAAAGAGAGGATTTCTTAATTTCTGTCTCAATCTTTTCAACATATAATAGTTTCAGGATTTATCCAACTTCTGCCTAAAAATGTTCCTGGAATTCTGGTGTTGCTGTTATTATATTTCTCTTTCTTTTAACCTCCCCGGTATTCAATCATTTCCATTAGATTTCAGTAGGTTATGATAGCCGTATTATCTGTGAATCGTGGTGATTTATTTTTTACTTGGTTCTCAGTAAGAGTCAGTTTTTCCTTCTTCACTTTATTATCAGAATTGGTCACATGTCATCTGGCTGTTTTCTCCCAGGGAGAAAGTGTTACTGCACCTCCCTATCCATGTGGAAGTAGCCAGTGCCACATAAATGTGAACAGAACTGGCATATATTTTTATGGGAACAAACTTTAAAAGCAACGGTTCAAGCTTCATCATACTTTTTAACTTTGAGTAATGGCGACAGGTCGTATTCCGCAATGATCTATTTCCTGTCTATATGAAGGATTATTTTATATACACGGAATTTTGAAAAATATGTAACTACAGACTAGCACACAGGACTAACAATTGCGATTTTCCTTGTCCAGAATGAATACAAATGTATTGTTTGTTATTTTGATTACTTGAATAGCACAAGTTTATTGTAATAAACTGCACAATTTCAATAAAACAAAGGGAAACATAGAATGATTTACTTCGTGATTTCCATAATTAACAATGATGATTATTTTTGTATTGACCGTTTTTAATATGTGTATGTTTGTAAGGTTTAAGGTGTACAATACTTGTGCTTTTATAGCAGATACTTACGTTTACAAAAATTTAAATCCTTTCCTTTTTACCCTTAACTTTCCTATCACTACTATCATCTCTAAGAAAATTTATTATATGACTTGTGAATATTCCTATCACTTTTTCCAAGCTCATCTTATTGTATGTAAAGATATCAATAATATCTTTTGTTTTATCCACTCAACAAATCATATTATGGGTTTAATCTGATACACACATAAATGATGCCTAATAATTACTAATATCATTGTACAGCATAGTTTATTAAACTACATTCCCAATGAGAGGTACTTTTCACTCTAAGAAATTATTTCTCTGTAGAATAATTGCTAGGCCAAACTATACATAACACTTTAATTAATGTCCATTACTGACTTAGTTTTAAAAATGTCCGTGACAACTCTATGGAACTGAATATATACTTTCCAATAAGTGATATAACTGAGTCTGTATTACAACTGGGCCTCTTATAGCAGTTCTTGTCTAAAGGTCTTACTACAAAAGAACATTTCACAATAAGGTTATAGAATTCCCAAGCAAATGATTTGTTATTTGTTGACCCATACACAACTGTATAACTGGAGACAGAAAGGTTTCTCAGTGTTACAAATAATTTTTATTTTGGTAATAACTACCACTTTATAGACAGATACATTGAGTTTAAGATAAATACCTGTTGAAAATTTGTAACACATACATAAGAAATCAAGTTCTGAAATACAAGTCACTTTTTCAATGATCTAAGGTGTTTACCTGGCCATTTTCTCAGGGCCATCATGACATCCTTGTTCCTTAGACTGTATATCATGGGGTTAAACACAGGCGTCACAATTGTGTAGAAGAGGGAAAGTACTTTGTCAGTTTCTGCTGAGCCTTGCGTCTTGGGTCTTAAATATGTGACAATGGCTGATCCGAAGAACAATGCCACAACCATAAGATGAGATGAGCAGGTGGAAAAGGCTTTGCCCCGACTTGTGGCTGATGGCAATTTAAGGATTGTGGAGATGATTTTGCCGTAGGAGACAAGTATCAACAGAAATGGAATCAAAACAAACAGCACAGCAACTGTGAAGACCAACATTTCATTCAGAAAAGTGTCCCCACAGGCCAGCTTGAGCATGGGAGGGATGTCACAGAAGAAGTGGTTGATGAGGTTAGAACCACAGAAGGGCAGAGAGAAAATCTGGCATGTCTGGCCTATTTGGATTGGGATTCCACTGATCCAGGAGCCAGCCACTAGCTGGATACACACCTTGTGGTTCATAACTAGAGGATAGTGCAGAGGGTTACAGATGGCCGCGTAGCGATCATAGGCCATCACGGCCAGAAGGAAGCACTCGGTGGCTCCAAGTGTAAGAATGAAGCACATTTGTGTGGCACAAGCAGCTAGAGAAATCGTTCTTCTTTGTGTCCCAAGACTTGTGAGCATTCTGGGGAGTGTAACAGACACATAACAGATTTCCAAAAGGGAAAAATTGCCAACGAAAAAATACATGGGGGTCTGGAGACCAGGGTCTAGTTTTGTTATCAGAAATATGATGCCATTGCCCATCAAGATAATTATATAGATGAGTAAGAACAGTCCAAATAAAAACTTCTGGAGATGAGGAACATCAGCAAAGTCCAGGAGAACAAATTCCATCAATTTAGTGAGATTACCTTCTGGTGTTTTTTCTTGATGTTCCATCTGTGAAAAAGGGTAAATGTATTATCTGCTTTTCATTTTTACCATCAGGGATCAGTGCCTGTTTTATAAATTGTATCAGGGTATCCAGGTTGATTTTCATGATCAATGCAACTGCTTCTAATTTAACAATTTTATTATGTATGCATTTCCCCTTTCTCAGTTTATAATCCATGTGTTATCACCATACACTCTCTCTTGAAATATCTTTTACAGCATTCTTTCCGAATACAGTCCAAAGTCAAAAAAGCTAGAGTGTTAGTCGTTCAGTCGTGTCTGACTCTCTGACCACAAGGACTGTAGCCTGCCGGGCCCCTCTGTCCATGGGATTTCCTAGGTCAGAATACTGGAGTGGGTGGGCATTCCCTTCTCCAGGGAATCTTCCCGACCCAGGGATCAAACGCAGGTCTCCTGCTTGCAGGCGGATTCTTTATCGCCTGAACCACCAGGGAAGCCCCGAATGTTCAGCACAGACATTGGACAAATTGAAGATACACCCACAGTGTTGTTATGTGATCTCAGTTTTAAATACTGACATTATTTTGTGGCCATGTTTCACGGATTGTGGGATCTTAGTACCCCAACCAGAGGTTGAACCTCAGGCTCATGGCAGTGAAAGTACAGAGTCCCAATCATTGGACTGCTAGGGAATTCCCTCAAATATCTACATTTTTTGACACTTTTATTGTATTTCTCTATGACTTTACATACTTCAGTAGAACTATTAATATAACAGAAATTATCTCCCTTGTATATTTTCAGCTATATATTTCAACTCTTCATTTCCCTCCCATCACTTATGATCTTGATCATGCGTGTTCTTATATACAATTCACATTATTAGGCAGTTTACAAAAAATATGAGAGAATATTTTATTTTATTGTACATAGGGGAATAAAATACATACATTTCAGTAAGATGCTATGTGGGGGCTATCAGAGGGTTTTATTCTGGAAAAGTTGTGTGGGAATAAATAAAGAGAGAAACAATTCAGAGGGTCACTGTGGGAAAAGAAGGGTCAGCTGGAATGTGTTCACTAGCTGTGTAAGACACTTCCTGTCATGCTTTACCCCGTGTTCTGTGTGCATCTCTGATGTCTTTGTTGTTCCTCTAATAATAATAATAATAATAATAATTCAGATAACAGTTTCTAAACTCATTTTTCTTGAGCTAGGATATTGAGATTTAGCAATGATGGATACATTGCTCATTTGCACATTGGTTTTATGATTGCAAATCAGTGCCTATTTTTTAAATCATACTTAAGCTTGAATCCTAACTCCGTTATTTATCATTTGTTATATTAAGTAAGTGTTTAAAATTTCTGTTTGCTTTCTTATTTGAGATAATTAAATATGATATTATTGATAAAATTACCTATCACTTTTAATATGTTTAAGTCATAGTCCTATAGTTATAAGTATTAATATGGTATAATGTTCTTAAATCCTTAGTTGCCAGGGTTGTAACACACTCCCTGGAAAAATTGTTTTTGGTAGAGTTATTGAGTTACTCATTGATGATTACTTTTTTCCATTTTTTCCTTTAATCAGGGCCAGGAGTAGGATATGGTCTTACCTAAATAAGGGATGAGACTCCTTTAGTACAGAATCTAAGAGCACACACTCAGTTTCAGGGCTGATTCTGCATTGTGCTGTTGTTAAAATGATTGCCTCCTTCAATATTACACTCCAGGCATCACTTGACTCAACATGAATCCCAGCCCTGCTTCTCAGTTCCCCACCCTTTATGTTTCAAGTTTTTCCACCAAGCACAGTCTAAATATAGTGTCATGGACAAAAAATACAATCCTGACAAGATGGCCTGCAACTGAACCACGGCTTCACTTACCAGCTGTGTGACAAGGCCAAGTGCTTAATCTCCCTGCCCATGGTTCACTTGGCTGCAAAACCGACTTAACGTTGTACTAACAGTTAGCATTGCTACATATATTAGTTCATTTGATAGAATAAAGCAACTTAAAGTTGTTTTGGCATTCACAGAAAATCTATTTGAAAGCTAGCTATTAGTGTTTTTATTAAAAGCTAAATTTTATTCTAAATTTCACTCTCTGCTTTAACAGTATGAAAAACTGCTCTCTAATTTACCTTGGCTCGGTATCACATGGTTAATGTGGGGATGAAATAAGATATTAAAACAATCATCACAGTGTTATAAAAATCCCAGACTTTTAAATGTGAATTATCCACTAAATTTCTGCCAATAATTTAATAATATTATCACCTCTACTCTAGAACTAATAGGGATTAATTTAAAATTTTCAATCTTAAAAGAGAGGAAAAATGAATATACAAAAGAATAGAATTGCAACCTCTATCAATTTTATGAATAAAAGCATTTAGTATTTCACTCTTTACCTGAATAAAATTATTTCCAGTACTATATAAGATATAATTTCTAATTGTACAGATATGACATTTTGGTGATGAAATCTTGTATAACATGAAATAAGTAAGATTTCAGTTTGAATTGCTCAAGAGTAAAACAAAGTATACTTCAAGTATGTTTGTATATTTGATAAAAATTGGCAACTCAATCCTTGAAAATAATTTAAAAACATTGTTGAAACTAAAGCTATCTTTATTATTTTATAAATCCTGAATTCTATAATTTTTCAAAATAATTGTTCTTTGAATTCCAATGTTTAAAACTTTATGTATTGCTTTCTTTTAAATCTCTTATTATAATATCAGACTGAATAGACATATGTAACCTTTTTTGTTACAATATGTGGGCTCAAGTGAAGTTTTCTTTAATACTATCTATACCTAGACTTTAGCTATTACATTTTTTGGCATTTCAAAGTGACTTAATACCATTATTTATTATAATTATTTGATTGCAAATTTTATTTAATAGAATCAGAAGTATATAGAAGTTGCTTTAATGAACAAAAATATTTGCTACCATGTGTAAAATTAATAATTTACACATTAAAAATCTGTGTACATGATTAATTTTAAATTTAAAATAAGAATTAAGCCTTGCTATCATTTTCATAGTTACCTTTCTTACTTGAAATGTTGCTGATTTTTCTCACTAGAGAGGCTTTGAATATTTACTGTAAGTGGAATTACTTGTTTCATCAAAGTAATTCAACTGGCCTTTAAATATTCTATTCTTTCTAAACATAAAGTGCTCTTAAATAAAAGTAGTTATCACTACTCAAGGGATCTCTGCAACTTGGCACATTTAAATTTCTAATTAAAATCATCACTCTTTGAATTCTCTGATTTGTTGTATTTTTTTAAATTTTTCCCAGAAAGCTCTCACTACTCAGAATATTTTTTTTTTCTTCAGCCTCTCTAGGGAATAGAGGATAGAGTGCATTTTATTTCTCAGATGTGAACAGGGTGCTAAGTAACACTATTTGTGGGCCTCCCAGGTGGTACAGTTGGTAAACAATCGGCCTGCCAATGCAAGAGATGCAAGAGATACAGGTTTGATCCCTGGGTCATGAAATTCACCGTGGAGTAAGAAATGACAACCCACTCCAGAATCCTTGCCTGGAGAATTCCATGGACAGAGGAGCCTCGTGGGCTCCAGAGTCAGACACGACTGAACACACACACACACACACACACACACACACACACACACACATTATTTGGGTTGATCAAATAGACACGGATTCAATTCTTACCTTAACTGTTAATCGTAGCAGGAGAAAGGTTAATTGTAGTAGGAGAAAATTTTTCCTCTCTTTTGCAGACTACCACCAATTTTTCCCAATCTTATTTTACATCTTCAAGATGTGAATACTTTCAGCCTCTAGTTACAATGAAATGAGAATCTGGAATAAATCCAGCTGAGATCACGGGAAAGATGCTAAGCAAAAAGTTGTGAGTTATACATTTCAAAAGTGGAGAAATTTCTCCAACATAAAGACTGTTTGAAAATCTTGGCTTAGAGCCAGTTTCTCATGACCCCCAAATTGGATGTTGTTCCCAATTATTCAGTAAATAGTGGTCTCTTAAGGTTCATGATTATGAAGAGAAAATATTTACCAGAGCGGGAACACATGGTCATGTGACAGTGGGAGCGACCTGGAAGGGTAATTAAAGAGTATCAGCAGCCCTGCGGCGCAGATCCTGAGCAGCGGGGGGCGGGGCAGGCTTCTCTCGGGACCGGATGTGGTGAAGGACAGGAAGGAAGTGAGAGGCCAGCCAGGCCGGATCCTGCAGGGCTCACCCAGGACTCAGCCGCGCTGGGAGGGAGTCACAAGGCCTGTGGCTCAGCGGAGCGCGTGTGACGCACGGGCTTGTCAGGTGGCTCGGGGTGAAGAGTCTGCCTCCCGGGCGGGAGAGGCCGGCGGAGCCGGGAGGGCTGTCGTCCCCGGGGTCGCAGAGTCGGACCCCGCGGAACGACTGAGCGCAGCGCAGCATCATGCACAAATAAAGACCTTCTGCTGGAGTAGAACAGAAATTCCAGAAAAGGCTCAAATACACACGAAAATCTGTCATTGACTGAAAACAGCCTACCAAATTGGTAAAGCGTGGACATTTAAGATAACTGTCGTTCGGACAACTGGGCACCCTTAGAGGAAAAAAAAAAAAAAACCAGTATATGTATTTTTGATAACTATCCCACTGCAGAATAAACTCCAAATGATACACAATTTTGTATATTTTAGAGTGAAATGATGAAAGTATTCTAAGAAATTATAAAAAGAGGTTTTATAATTTGAAGTAAGGAAAGGTTTTTTTCCATTTATCTTTATTAGTTGGAGGTCAGTTAACCTACAATATTGTAGTTGTTTTTGCCACGCATTGGCACGAATCAGTCATGGACCTAC